ATGATCTGTGTGTGTATGGATGTGTGTGTATACATGTGTGTGAGTCGTTAGTGATGAAACTCCTTTCGCGGCACCCGCACTAGCTGCGATGATCTGTGTGTGTATGGATGTGTGTGAGTCGTTAGTGATGGAACTCCTTTCGCGGCACCCGCACCAGCTGCGATGATCTGTGTGTGTATGGATGTGTATGTGTATGGATGTGTATGTGTATGGATGTGTATGTGTATGGATGTGTGTGAGTCGTTAGTGATGGAACTCCTTTCGCGGCACCCGCACCAGCTGCGATGATCTGTGTGTGTATGGATGTGTATGTGTATGGATGTGTGTGAGTCGTCAGTGATGGAACTCCTTTTGTGGCACCCGTACCAGCTGCGATGATGTGTGTGCGTATGGATGTGTGTGTATAGATGTGTGTGAGTCGTCAGTGATGGAACTCCTTTCGCGGCACCCGCACTAGCTGCGATGATCTGTGTGTGTATGGATGTGTGTGCGTATGGATGTGTGTGTATAGATGTGTGTGAGTCGTTAGTGATGGAACTCCTTTCGCGGCACCCGCACCAGCTGCGATGCTCTGTGTGTGTATGGATGTGTGTGAGTCGTCAGTGATGGAACTCCTTTCGCGGCACCCACACTAGCTGCGATGATCTGTGTGTGTATGGATGTGTGTGCGTATGGATGTGTGTGTATAGATGTGTGTGAGTCGTTAGTGATGGAACTCCTTTCGCGGCACCCGCACTAGCTGCGATGATCTGTGTGTGTATGGATGTGTGTGAGTCGTTAGTGATGGAACTCCTTTTGTGGCACCCGTACCAGCTGCGATGATGTGTGTGCGTATGGATGTGTGTGTATAGATGTGTGTGAGTCGTCAGTGATGGAACTCCTTTCGCGGCACCCGCACCAGCTGTGATGATATGTGTGTAGGTATGTAGGCAGCCCCTCCCCCCCTCCCCCGCCTCCTTACTCCTTTCGCCGCACGCACACCTGCTAGTGTGATGTGTGTGTCTAAAGAAATGTCATCTCCCGCCCCAACTCCTTTCTGCGCAAGTAGTTGAATAGTTGAAGCAAATTTCCAATAAGTGAATTGAAGTTTCCAGTGTGACATGTATGTTCCTTGTACGCCATTAGTCTCGGTTGCGGATGTTGTTGAAATAGTTGAACGTGTAAAATATTTCCTGGTAGTTAAGTCAATGGTATCATTTTTATATTGTTCACTCAATGACCATTTATTCGCATTATGGGAAAAGATTGAAAGATTTATATTATTTAATGTGTAAGATATTAATGCATGATTAAGAATAGAATCGTAATTGATATTATTATTTATTAGCATATCATCATGTTGTTCATTTTGTCTATTGAAAGAAAAATCGAATGTTCTTAGTAAAGGATTATCTTTTCCAAATTTCGTTGCTCTGTGTAATTTGAATTATTCATTATTATTATAAAGATGAAGATCCAGTATCGATTGGCAAAAGTCATTCGAATCTATTGAAAATAAATTCTGAGGAATTAGGTGAATGACGGCAAAATAAGGATACTTTTGAATGGATGCTTTTGAAAGTTATTACAAGCTATATTAGTTGCCGGTATTGTGGAATTAAAGAAGTTTGTACTAGGTAAAATTGTTTGTAATGTGAAAATTTATGAAACTGCACAAAAAAAAGATAGTCAATTGAAAAGCTCCTATGAAAAAGTATCTCTCGTCGTTGTAAATATTATATAGATCGATGGCCCAAACACCGCTGTTTCGAATGGTGAAAACCGCAGATTTATATCTTGTTCCTATCAAAAGTTATTCGCAATACAAGAGTGTCGGGCGACTTATGGAACACCCTATATCTCCTATACCTCCTATATCTCCTATATCTCCTATACCTCCTATATCTCCTATATCTCCTATATCTCCTATATCTCCTATATCTCCTATATCTCCTATATCTCCTATACCTCCTATATCTCCTATATCTCCTATACCTCCTATATCTCCTATATCTCCTATATCTCCTATACCTCCTATATCTCCTATACCTCCTATACCTATCTATCTCTATACCTCTTACCCTAGGACATAATTGAGTTTCCGGGGATATTCTCCGAAGACATCATATGTTATTAGAGAGAAGTGCAAGTGAAGTGCAGTGAAGTCTCGTTTTTTTCTCCCTTGAGGATACTGTACTAAGATTCCCTTAATCAAGAATTCTAATAAAGCTCTGATTTTTCTGCTAGATAATTAGGTTCAAGAAATAAGGAATAGTTGATAATAAAGTGCTAGTTCTGGATCGCTCGTCGAGAATTCTCGTGTTATAAATCTAAGGATTTTTCGAAAC